GATAGAATCCTAAAACTTTGTTAAATACCCATTATAAAATGATGAAAGACACGGTGTTCTTTGGTCCACGTGACCCAATACCCAGCTTTGAACAGTCATCACCACCCACAAATACACATATATATTAAGTACAGGAGGTACGTAAATTGATAGATGATTCACGAAATGGAATATATATTGTCTCAAAAGAATGGCTGTAGTTATGACTGAACATAAATATATTAAGAACCAATAATATTTTAAAAAATATTAATTTTGTTTGATTTAGTTACTAGATTGATATTTTTAATTTTTTAATTAATTTTTTTATTAAAATTTACAAATTAATAAAATATTAATCAAATTATATACAATTTTTATAATCTTAACATATTCTTTTATGTGGTTATAACTTCAACCCAAAAGAATCCATTCACACACTCTCCAAGTTATCATTTTCTCCTCCCAGCAACAATATATGCCTGAAATTTCAAAAAGCAAGCAAAACTCCACTTGATATGTCAAAAGGTCAATTTTACCCTTGTTTGAGGACAAAACCCATGTATATTGAGAGGGCAAACATGTCTTTTCACAATAACATGATGTTCTGAATGGGGAAGAAGAGATGTGACAAGTGAGAGCTTTAGAATGCGCGTTGGGTGTCTTTCATGCTGGCCAATTTGGAATCTCTTGTCCAGATGTGCTTTTGGGTGGGTAGGACCCAATTTTTACACCCCCCACACCTCAAATTAACAAATAAACACATTCCCCGTTTCTGCAAAACATTTATCTAAAATCCCCCCCTCCCCCCCAATACTTTCTCTTTGTGCAAATTTGGGTGCATACCCACTTGCCACATGACCCTATTGATGATCTAAAGATAGTGACTTTTCTTCCAATAATCAAAACCAATGTAACTCAAAATAAAATAGAACAAAATAAAACCCGTAAATTGGACAAGCCAGTTTGGCCCAATGGTCCATGACAAACTTTTTTTTTTTTTTTGAACAAAGGAAATTTTTAGAGATGGGGAAATATTACAAATGTTTTAATAAAGACGGTAAATTTTGATACGAGTCAAAGTATTTAGTGCATATTACCAACTTATCGGATATTATTAGTGTGATCCATACTAAATTGTTGATATACCATTGTGGTGGCTTCGAAATCCTAAATTCAAGCCAAGGCAATGAAAAATCCCATCCCCATGAAATTCCCATGGGTAAAAAACAAAAAACAGAGAGATTTGGTGCTCTGTTTTTGGTAACTAGTGACTGGGTTAAAAAGAGGGGATGGGTCACATCTTAAATCCCCAATATCTAAGTTTTTGAATATAAAAAGAGTTCTATTAACCTATTTAAGATTGTCTTGTTTGGGTTTTTGTCTTTGCTTGTTCTTTTGCCTTTTATCATCACCAAAGTTTTCTCCTGGTTGCCCTGTTTCTGTCCTCAATTTGATTCTTTGAAAACATTAAGGTTTTTACCCTAAGATGCCATTGTTGCCAAATAAGGAGATGAAATAGGACCCACTTTTGAGAGAGCCTTCTGTTACAATTAGGCCAATTATATATAATACATAACAAGTTAATAACAATTTGATATCTTTAACAGTTTACTTATATATCATTTAACTATTTATAACTTGTTTAAGTGTCAAAATTTTATTAACAATAATAAATAAATACATAACTATGTTATTCTACACGGACAAAGATCTGCACCCCATAGATTAAGGAAGGTGTTTTCTTGTGAATTGCAAAGTGAACAAGAGCTGTAATATTATAATCGTAAGTAATTAACAGAGATCAAAGTATGCTGCTGGGACAGAAAATGATGATGGGGGTGTTGGGAAGGAGAGTAGAAGATCCCTTGAAAGACTACAAAATCTGTATGTTCCCTGAGCCCTCAGCTTTGCTTTTCTCTTGTTTAAAATAAAATTCAGCCGAGATGCCCACCACAGACCACACCACCACCACCACCACATGCCTCTCTTTAGCTCTCTGATATCCTATTAACGGTTTCTTATCAAAACACATAACCAAAGGAAGCCCTTGAGAATAAAGCGTGGTCTTCCTTGGTTTCTTAGTTTGAGATGTATGAACTCGACATCCACATAGAGATGGAACCCTCCTGTCCTTTTCCCCTTGGACTTTTCAAAACTTCACTAACAAGATTTGCTGTAATTAAATTATGGGATTAACGGTTTGTAATGGGGGATAAACCTAAATTAGTCCTTGAAGTTATTTTATTTTCTCAATGCAGTCCTCAAATTTATTTTTAGCTCAAGTTAGTATTTATGCCATATATTCTAGTCAATCAAGGCCAAATCTAACTAGAAAAGTAATGACTATTTATCATCTCAGGTAAGACCTTACCCAATTAGTTCCTTAACTATTTTTTTAGGGCAAGTAAGCATGTATACTTTATACGGGCCAATTAAGGTCTTGACTATCATCTCTCAATCGAGGGATTAGGCTTATGAGTAATTAATTTGACATGGTAATCGATGGTGAAAGACCAGAAAAACGACATACCATTGTGTTAAGAAGGATTGTGAGCCTATCTTTAAAAGTCTTTTTCCCACTCATTGCTATTCTAGCTTCCATGGATGTAAAGAAAGCTACCTAGTTAAGGGTTTAGTTGAGAAGTGATAGCTAATTAGCAGCACAATTAGAGCTGAAGAGTGGATGTTGAGAAAAGAATGTAAGGACAGAATCCAACTAACTTAGGGGTTATTATAATTCCTTGATTATTTAAAAAAAAATGTAATGATGTCTCATCAATGCATTGATTTTTCTAGTTCAGCGGCAATCTATTCTACAAATTTTACTTTTGGAACATAATACTGTCGGCTCAATTATCATTATGCAATGGAGTATATTAATTATATTATACACACCATACATTACTACGAGATAGTAATACCAGTAGTTAATACTATTATGAATAAAAAAATTTAATAAAAGTGGGATTTGCTGCCAGTGAGGCTTCATTGGGTATGGTGGTCTAGGGATTCCCTATACCTATACACAGGAATGTTACGTAGTGTGCAGTCTCGTGTTAAATTCTTTCTTTTCTTTCTTGAACCTCTCAAAGATTCATCTCTTATGCTTTCTTTACCTCCCCGTCTTCTTCTTGGAATTTGAATGTGTCTTTCTCTTCTTTTCTTTTCTTTTCTTTTTTTCCTTTTTTTTTAATATTTCAATTGATTAGTACATCTAGTTAATTCGATTATAGAGAACCCATCACGTGAAAATTTGATTTTAAAAAATTACTCTTGGGATGGTTTTCACTTCAATAATAGTAGTAGTATTTGAATACCGCATCAAGGCATCAAGAAAGACTAACGCCGACGCCACCTGCTTTCTGTCTGTTTACTCTTTGTTTCAAAGGATTCCTTTGACAGAAGAAATCAGAAATGTTGAGTAACTGTGAGAAGATGGTTGTCATCTCTTCAACTACTAACGAATGGCCACAGGTTTCCCCTTCTCTCTTACTCTCTCTCTGTTTCTCTGCCTCAATTATTAGACAAAAAAACCTGACCCCATTTTTGTTGCTTTGTATTTGGAAAAGAATATATCATCATTCCATATCACCTCCTATATTGTTATTTTACCATAAAAACATCCTCTTCCAGTCTTTCTTCTCTTTCTGTTTAGCTGTTGTAGATGTTTGAATTCCTGACTTTGACTTCAGAAATTTAAGTTTTAAAACCTGTTCTCTTCTTCTTGATGCAGACTGAAGTCGATGAGAAAACCCTAATGGTATCGACTAGTAGGCTTATGGAGAAACCAGCTCATCAAGATCAACAACTTCAACAGCAACAGCAACAACAAGCCTTGAGGTGTCCTAGATGTGATTCATCCAACACCAAGTTCTGTTACTATAACAACTACAGCTTGTCCCAGCCAAGACACTTCTGCAAGGCCTGTAAACGTTACTGGACCAGAGGAGGCACCCTGAGAAATGTTCCGGTGGGTGGAGGGTGCCGAAAAAACAAGAGGGTCAAGAGGCCAGCCTCTGCCGTTGATGGAGGCTCTTCTACTCCTAGTCCAAGCCCTAACCCTACATCCCAACCCCAGATCGACTTTTCTTCTTCCTCAAATCACATCAACCCTTTGCTTTATCGGTTATCCGGAACCCCATCTGATATGAATCTTCCATTTTCTAGGTTTAATTCAACTGTATACGATCTTCAGCCTCAGTTCAATAATGCAGTTGGGTTAGGGTTTTCTTCAAATCCACTTCTTTCAAACTATTCCATTTTCGGCTCTTCCTCTTCCACCGCCACTCCCACAATCGCTTCTTTGTTGCCTTCTACTCTTAACCAACAGAAGTTCATCAACAGCAACGGTCTCAAAAGCACTAACTGTTACGAAGCCGCAGGACCATTTCAGAACCAGCAAATAGGAAGTAACAGTGGTGAAGCTGCGCTGACCACTGCCGTGAGGGAGGTGAAAGTTGAAGATCATGGACGAAGCAGAATGGAGTGGAATGTGGGGTGTCAGAATCAGATGGAGCAAATCGGGTTATCGGATTCTGCTGTTTACTGGAACACAACAAATAGTAGTACTGTGGGTGCTTGGCATGATCCGGGCAACATTGGCTCAGTCACTTCTCTCATCTAACAAAAACCAAAAACGTTTTTAATCACTCTCAAAATTCTGTCTCCCTCTTTTTTGGGTTAGTTTTCTCTTTTGATTAATTTCTACTGTTTTTAGTGGCTATGGTTGGGTAACACTAAGGGGGTAAATTGGAAAAGAAAAAGAGAAAACCCTAACAAAAATTTCAAAGCATAAATGGGAGAAGCTGGGATCGGAGTGATCATGTCAGCAGCAAATTCAGCCTATACTTTTATTGTCAAAGGTTGAGAAAATTTCCATTAATTGCGCTGAGAGGAACCTCGGATCCTCATCGTCTCATCATCATCTTCAAGGTTTGCTCCTTTTATTCAACTTGTCAGTTGGGTGAGTTTTAGTAATTACTAGTTTCTACCTTGTACTATATGCATATCTTTGCATAATTATGTATTTGTTATGAGTTGGGGGATTGGGGGGGTATATGTTCTTGAAGGAGTGCTACTCAGATTAGATGAGGAAGTACTTAATATTTCTTCTTCTTCTCCCTTTTTTCACATTTTCTCTTTGTGGTTTTAGGGGGTGGGTATATATAGTTATTGGAATATATAGAAGAAAGAGGGAGATTATCTTTTGTAACTTTCAATGTGGGAACTTAATCAATGTGATTGATATCTTTGCTTAATTTATGTGGTTTTTAACTAAATTCTTGTTCTTAAATTTGTTCTTGCAAGGAAACTATAGCTAAGTGTTGATTTTTAAGACATAGGTTTGCACACGCAAATGACATCTTTTGAACATATATATATATATATATATATATGCGTGCTTGAGAGACAGGATATATCTGTGGTTAGGACTGGATTTTAATTGGGAGGTTTCTAATCCAGGCAATTCATTCTTTAAGCAGAGTAAGAAATGAGACCAAAATGGAAATCAGTCCATCGCCATATTTGGATTTTAGTATTCTGGCTTTAGTGCTGAGTTTCATTCTCAAGCTGTCAAGCATCTTTCTTCCTTTGTGTTTGAGCCTTGTCGCTGACTGTGTTTGTATCTGTGCTGTGCATGCTTTTGAGAGAGAAAAGGAGAGAGTTAATTTGGTATCTATGACTGTGAACGAAGAGAATGATGCTTGGTTTCAGGTCATTGTTGCTCTGACAAAAGCTATAACTCGTGTCTCTGGCGTTCCCTTTTACTGCAGTTAATTCATCTCATGAAAGCTGCCAACTCACCGTTTATGATTCCCAGACTTTTCATGGTACTAAACTAATTACAATTTTATCACACAATAAATTGTTTCACAATAGCCCCGTACCGAGTTACTGTGAACGATAAGTGAAAAATTGTGAATTTCTACGGTGAAATAAGATTATATATATGAATAAACCGTTTTACTAATCAAATTAATCTTGATTATCAACATATGTGAGTAATATTAGGCTAGATGTTTCTCAATTGAAATATAAGAATTTAAGTTTTTTTTTTTTTTTTTCTGAAACAACAAGAGATTAATTGAAATAAAAGAGTTTGAGATTTTAAATTTAATATTTCAAATTTAAATCTTAGACCATCAAAGAAGAATTTGGGAAATTCCTATACTAGTAACATATTAATTGGTCTAATTAATAACTTATGTAGAAATTTTAATGTTATAATTAATGAGAGATCCATAACAACATCTAGGGTTAGCTAATTGAGTCATTATTGCATCATTAAGAAGTCTATATATATATATATATGTTGAGTTATTTGCATGCATTATATCGTCTTTAAGTGTCCCTAAGTGTAGTTTTAGTAGAGTTTTTGAAGAAATATTTTGGTTTTATAAATTTTGAAGAAATATTTGAAATAGTTTGTGCAGAATTTATTATAAAACCAAAATATTCCTTCAAAAACTCTACTAAAATTACACTTAGGATCAAATTCAGACTTAGGAGGGTATATATGAGGAGGAATTTGGAGGGAATTTTGACCCCAAAAAACTTATAGAAATGTTGTTGTTAATTTTAGATTGACCAAAAAAATAAAAAGGAAAAATGCTTCCAGGGAGGAAATGCCATTTCTGCCCTTTAATGAAAAATCATCGTTTCCTCATTAACTAAAAATGACATAAAAATCTTATAAATTTCATTTTGCTGCTGCTACAATACTATCCATTAAGAGCAAGATGTCTCAAAAGGGGATCCTGTCTTTCAACAAGAAGCAAGATTGTGTTTAAAATCATTTTGATCAAGTATGTAACTTAATTAGCTTGTCTTCTACTTTAGGTGCTCTTAGGCCACCTAGCCTAGCTACAACATCTGTATCTATACCATTCCCAGTAGGCTGTGGGGACTAAATCCCAAATCCATCCATTTATTTCCTTAATCTATTTTTTAAACTTCATAATCTGCCAAAGAGAATGCTTCTTCTTCTTTTTAACTTTCAAGGCATGTTGTACTTAAAAATGTTAATTTGGTAAAAAAAAAAAAAAGAGATAAAAATATTATTAATAAATTTTTATATATTTTTAATTTATTTAAAATATTTTTATTTTTTAACCCTAAATACATGTTTTTAAGTGAGAGGTAGACTTTAAAAAACATTTATGTTTATTAATAAATTAATTATTTACTATGATCGGGGCTCGAAAAGCTTTATATTTGACTCCTTGGACTCTGCACCAGAGCCCAATATTCGTAATTGATTAGTTTAAGCCCACTTATATTGGATGGTTCTCTTCAACCTTTTTTTCTGTTCGTACGGACCACAGTATTTTTCACCGTTAGGACATTCTTAGCAAAGCATTTTACTCAGTACAGTTATGTATTCACTCATTTTAAAATTATTAGATATATAGATTGTAATTCATATTATAAAAATTAAAAAAAAAAACAATTTTAATAAAAGAAACCATTTTTAAAAAATCGGAAATTGGTCTTAATCAAAGAAAGTCTTGAAACTCCACCAACTGCATTATAATTTTTTTTTTTCTCTTCTTTTGAAAAATTGTGTCACAAGCTTAACCACATCATTCTTCGCAAATGCCATAAAGAAGAAGACAAGCCACCCTCGCCCAAGATACTAAGAAAATAATGACCGATGATCCAACATGAGCAGTTGGCTTTGAATTCTTTGATTATTAGAAAAAATATATATAATGACTAACGTTTGATTTGAAAATACTAATTTATAGTTGTAATTCTAAGTTTTTTTTATTATTTAACATCTTAAAAATATATAAAATATATAAAAATATATTTTATATTTATTTTAACTAACATATTTTATATTTTTAAAATAATAAAAAATATAAAAATTAAAATATAAAATATCAAAAAAATGTTATCAAACGAAACCTAAGGTAAGAATATTCAAGGATGCGTGTGGGATTGATGGTTTCTCCTCTCTGATGTCGTTAATATTATAATTGCATAAACCCTTCATACCCAAGCAAGAAGTTCATGACTTTTGTGAAGTTTCTTCATCAATTTTCCAATCAACCCAACTCATTGAAACTTAATCGTTCTGGTGTTATTCACGTTCTCATAACTGAATTCATTGATGATATACATAAAAGTGGCTAGCTTCTACATTCTACAAGTAGGAAATTTGCGAATAACCGACATCTGGACATGATTTTGTACATGTACTTATAGGTAGGTTAGGGACCAAATATATCTAGAGCCATTATATTGTTGGTATTTGGATTGGAGATTGTACACATGTAACTATATAATATATACGCTCCAACATGCTCCAGTTATTTGGTAATGTGGGGCAGCTGCGGGTGGGAACCAAATTTTGCCAGACATTATATTCAAAATGTAAGCCATTAATTATCACTTATCGGTTGGGTTGTTCTCACATACTCACGATTAAAAGCTTAGACGACTTTGTTTGGTTTGGGGAGGAAAAAAAAATTTTTTTTTTTAACTCATTACACAAGTATTTGTAAGTTAAATTCCATATTTTTTATTTTTTTAAGTGAAGATTTCTATTGAATTACTTAATTGAATCATTAATTAATTGGCTCCAAATCTTCAATCACGCTATGTATTAGTTGTTTGAACAATTTTTATCTAGGGAACAAATTAATATTCTACAAAGACTTAAACTTTTGATACCAGAGGATAAACTAAAGTTAAAGTCCACAAAGACCGTTTGTCCCAAAATATCATCAAAACTCTAAACAAAAGGCGCCGACTGACCAAATGATGAAGAGATGGGGCCTTCCAGTCCCATTCCGATGGGATGTTTGATTAAAAGTAGAGCAACCCAACTAGTGCATGCTAATCATATACTTACATAATTTTTCAAAAGAAAATGGGAAAGGAAGAAAAGAGGAAGGGACCCTCAATCATATATCATGTAAATATGGATTGATGTGGTGTTAAAGCTAGACACTGGATTGTTCCTCCATGCATTTGTCACCAAACCCCTTTAAAATAAGATTACAAAACAACAAAGAAAACAAAGAAAGGAATGTGTGTGAAAAAGAGATGTTACAGTTACACACACAAAAAAAAGAG